TACGATTCAGTCATAAAAACCCGTGCTCAATTTTTTAAAGCTTTTACTATAGCTTTTTGATTGTTATGATAGCGCCTATAGGCAAACTTACAACCGAAATCAGGTATATAAGGAAGGGGTCCAACGAGGATTTCAAAAACATTTTCCTTCCTCTTCTCATCTGGAAATTTATAACTCAGCTTTTCTCTATTCACTAATCAGAGTGATCTATTCTTTCTTGATACATAAAAGTTCAGCACCATTTGCCCTTTGCTCCATTGTTCGAAGACTGCTTCGGATTTTTCTCAGTCCCTCAGGATTAGCCTGGCTAAAAATTACCCCTCAGAGGTAGCTTGATATGCGGAAAGCTATTATCATACCTGATTAGCAAGGAAATGCTTACAAGGAAGGTCTTTCAGGGTGTGCCAAGCTTTTTCAAAACGGTCTTTTGCATGATATAGGGGCACATGCGGGAACCACAGAACCATGGTTAATTTTTCCTGAACGGCCCTCTGAATACCAGAAAAGGGGGTCCCTAGTCACACCTTTTTCACCAGTTTTTCAATCAAAGTCTATTTGTAAGGGTTACTGACGTTCCTAATCATGTTGTCACAGCTGGGCAGCTGAACGACTTTCCTAAGGAAAACCCTCCACTCCTCGTCCTTGTCAAGTGTCAGTGTTTAGCCACGTAGTCGCGGTTTTTGGGACATATCGCCATTTCTTCAAAATTATTCAAAATACATCGCCCCTGTAATAGTTTCAAACGTATACGAGACGAGACGGTGTGAAGTCCAAACAACAGTTCAACAGTTCAACAGTTCAACAAACAATGAGCATAGCCTCATTGTGCAGCGTGTAACATTGCTTGGGAAATTGTTCTGAAGCTTATTCGTGGTAGGATAATTGAGTAGAGCTTTGTTTGTTATCCCAGAGAATCGAAATTTGTCACAAAATCAACCCGAAGGTTTCTAAAATGGGACAGGAGATCATGCAAGTTTTCTTTTTAGGCAGCGGTTCTTGAGCGTGTGTTGTCTTACATTTGAAAAATGTGGACAATTTTTTTGATAAAACATTAATAAAAATGATGTGTAAAGTCAAGGAAGATTAACAAAAATCTTGAGAAATACAGTTCTGACATATGAAATACATTGCTATTGGTCTTTTGTCCTCCTTTTGGCGAACAGGATTCCGCTTCATAATAACTTTACCGATAGTGAACCGCAATGCGTGTTAGCGGCCGCTAGCGCCGTTCCCAAATAAGTTTTGCTGTAATACCATACTTGTAAGACGACCAGAAAGGAATTGCTCTAAATGTGAAATTCTCATG